TTTGACTTTACCCAGAACCATGACTGAAGTTGGGTCGGCCCCGAGGGGTACCCCTGACAGAAATGTGAAGTCGGGTTGACCGTGAGTGTACCCACGAGTTGATGTGTAGTCGGGTTGACCTGGAGGGTGCCCGCGAGATAATTATGTGGCACGGCCGGGCATTCTTACCCTTGTTGTAAGTCCACGAGACGGGGCGATGAGGTCACATGATCGTGAGTCTCTGCTCGTTACCGTGCGCTACCAAGACACTAACGGTCTGGATATGTGATCCGAGTAGGCATCTGGCCTTTTCGCACTAACCACCACGCGAGAATAAGTATGAGCACTCTGCGTCGTATGTATCAGCCGAAAGCTCTTCGAACGTCAGCGACTAAGCGGCACGCGCCGGGATGGACTGCTTAAGCATGCGCTTGTATAAGGGGGCTAGGTCTGCTCACCGGCCGTGTACGCAACATGCAGGAGTGCAAAGGGCGATGGGCCCAAGACCCCTGCGCACTTAGGATGTAGACCAGCGTGTTGGCCTCTTTGTTGAGCCTAGGTAGGACCGCGTTGTGTCGATCGGCCGAGGCCGGTCATGACCTGATGGTGTGTTCGGTCACAGTTGATCGAGCATGTTGGGTAAGTTTGTGCAGCCCTCCAGGGAAGAATGATATATTTGAATAACCGTGTCCACGGTAACGGACGCTCGGAGTTGCATCCCGATCGATACAACTAGAATTGGATGCTAAGGCATGAAATGGAAATGATGGCTCTGGGATTGCTTTATCGCAGGGAGTCGAGTAAGTGATCTCTGGGCGATGTTACAACATACTTACTAGTATTATAATATGTTACTCTTACCTCTTCTGATGCTGCAAGATGCTTGAAGATGCTAGTATTTGATAGGCTAGGATTTCTGTCTATTCTGGCATTTCTGCAGTTCAGTCCACAGATACAGCCCATTCCTTTGATACAGATGCATACTCAGTTTAGATCTGATGTAAGTCTTGCGAGTACTTTGGATAAGTACTCACGGTTACTTTGCTACCTCTTTTCCCCTATACCCGATTGCTACAATCAGATGACAGATCTTAGGAGCCAGTGGCCACCACCGACGACTACTGCTACCCCGAGGGAGCCTACTACTACGTGGAGACCACCGACGACCAGGAGTAGTTAGGAGGCTCCCAGGAAGGAGGCCTTGCCTTTTTGATCGTTGATACTTTCGTGCTAGTCTTCTTAAGGCAAACTTGTTTAACTTATGTATGTACTCAGATATTGTTGCTTCTGCTGACTCGTTTGTATTCGACCTTATGTATTCGAGCCCTCAAGGCCCCTGGCGTGTAATATAAAGCTTGTATGACTTTAATGTGTCTAGAATTGTGTTGTGATATCTTCACGTGAGTCCCTAATCTTGATCGTACACATTTGCATATATGATTAGTGTACGATTGAATCGGGGGCGTCACACTGCGCTACACATGAATTGTCGCCAAGTTTTGCTCCTTGTTTAAGATCATTGATATGCGAAGCTAAATTCAACAATTCAAATAATGCAAAACGCCGCCGCTCCAGATCACGTGCAGATGAGAAAAGGAGGCGACCGCGGCTTCCCTTTGCGTGTCGTCGGTGCTGCCGCTAGTTCCCTCTCCCTCCGCTAGCAGTGACGGCGGCGGGAGGGAGGGGTAACCTCGGATCTGTGTGTGGGGTGGGTTCGCAGTAGGGTTAGGGTTGAGAGAGATGCTGTTGAGGCCGTTGCAGCGGCGTTGCGTATGAATAAGTTTCCCCGGGCTCTGTTCATGGTCAGGGGGAGCTATTGCCTTCATCTAGGGGGAGCAGGGTAGGAGATCCCGGGGATCTCGCTGAGGTCGTGGGCTATGGTGTCTGAAGGTCGACCGGCACTAGCCGGTTGGGTCCTCAGATGGGAGGTGGTTGTGTGGAGACAGAGATTCTTCTTTCTCCTCGTCGGTATGATTTTCCGTTGTTGTTCTTCCTCTTACTTTGTGTTGTTGTTCGAGGGATGTCCTGCTTTGCCCGGGCGGTTGGCCCGACCGCGACGCCGGAACCGATCCTAGTTCTCTTTCATCTGAAAGGGACACATATAGCGGTACTCAAAGCCACAAATTATAGGTGGCCAAATGGGCCGGGATAGCTGGGCCGGCCCGGTAGCACGGCCGGCACGGCACGGGCTAGGCACGGCACGGCACGTGCTAAATGGGCCAGGCCCGGCACGCGGCACACCAGGGGCCGTGCCTGGGCCTGAAGGCCGAGCACACGGGCCAGCACGGCACGGCCCGATTATCTTTTTTTTATTTTTTTTATGTATCGTAATGTGGCCCAACAGGTAAAAATAGGCTAAAAAACGCCCAGTGCGCAAAATAGGTGGTAGATTAGCGGGCCTAGCATGCCTGTGGGCCGGCCCGATTAGCATATGGGCTGTGCCTGGGCTGCAGGCTGCAGCATGCGGGCTGGCACGGCACGGCCTGTATAATAATTGTGCCTCGGCGGGCCGAGCCGTGCCAGGAACGATTAGGATGGGCCGTGTCGTGCCGGGCCGTTTGGACAGCTATACCACAAATGGTGAAGGCTGATGCAGGCATGTTGGATGCACATGTGTGTGTCCTTCTCTTTTCGGCGCCGGTGCAAAGAAAAGGAGAGCAAAGCGGTGGCAATTATGTCGTGGTTAAAGATGATGACCTACTTGGGTCTGATTGCAGAGTCTTGTATTGCATTGGTCTTTTTGCAAGGTTCAGGAATGATGACACAAAGCTCCAGAGGTCATCGTATTTTACTAGTTGTTTTAGGGTGCTCTCTATTTTCCTGGTTCATTGTGCGTGTGTTAGGGTGCGCTTGTACAGGTCAAGAACTTTGCATTATTTCGTGATTTGAATGCAAGCAACTTTCTCAAGAGAAAAACATAATGCAAAACGCATTATAACATATTCAATTATGTGAATAGCTTGGTTTTGTATTGAGTTCTGACAACGTTCTTTAGTACTACCTCCGTATCAAAATATAAGACGTGTTTTTGACAATGTCATAGTGTCAAGAAAGGTCTTATATTTTGATACAAAGGGAGTAGTGACTTGTATGTGTGTAGATTCGTCGAACAACATGCCTTATCCTTGGACACATGAATGAACAATGAACGCAACACTAATGATGCCATAATGTACATACCTGAACATGAACCGTATGCAATATACAGAGTCCCCACGTTTCAAAACAAATATACAGAGTTCAGACGTCTAACTGTCAAAGGCTCAAAGCATGTCCGTGTGACAGCATATAGTAGTACTATCTAACAGGGGATGAAGATGCGACTAGATGCCATTTGATAAACAGACTAACGGCGGATAAAAACTTTGCACAGGGGAAACTACTAGTAGTACTTAGGTTCACAGGTTGCTGGCAGCTACATTTCAGAACCTCATGTTCCGACCTTCACGCCTTCCAGTTCCATACTCCATGGAAGAAACCTTCACACCGTGTGTGCCTGGAAATCAAAATTGGGTTATATTTTGCCACAATGTGCTCACAAATAAACAAATGGAGCAAATAAGTAATGCTCGACTACGACTTGGTTCTTGTGGTTATACCCCCAATAACAGAAGAGTGTTTAAATCAATCTGCACAAAATACCTCTTATAACCAACAAGCACCAGCAATCAGGTATGAAATGTACCATGATGGGTATAAATAACACGGGTATTTTCGGAAACTTCACCATGCGGTTAGGGAAATGCCAATAATTTAGGAAGGAAAACATCACACGTGTCAAAGCATGCTGTGAATGATGTTGACTTTTTTTTTTACTTTGGGCACTATTTCTTGTAATTTTGTGTTCGTGCAGATTTAAGTACTTCTAATGACAAGTCCAGTGACATATTTCACATGTCCTATCTAGATAGTTTCAAACATATAGATGGGCAACTTTAAGTACGTTTGGTGACGTGAATCATAACATTATACTCCCTCCGTCCCATAATATAAGAACGTTTTTGACACTAGTGTAGTGTCAAAAACGTTCTTATATTATGGGACAGAGGGAGTACGTATGAATTATTTACTGGCTTCCAACACATTTCAGAATATCAATATTTTGAAAATCTACTGTGAAGGATAATAGAAAGCCATGAGAGTGGATGGTCTGATCAAACCAAATCCAAAAAATCTGAAATTTTGAGACATCAAACCTTATCAAATGTTCAAGCATCTTGCAAATTTTCAGCCAAAAATAACACCGAGGAGCTCTCACCGAAAAAAACAAAATCAATGTTCAAAGTTTTGTGCACTTTTTAAGCATTGATATTGTTTTTTTCTTTGTGAGAGCTCCTCGGATGTTATTTTTGGCTGAAATTTTGCAAGAATCTTGAGCATTTGATATGGTTTTATGTCTCAAATTTTTCCGATTTTTTTTATTTGGTTTGATCACGTTTTTTCAGTTTTTTGCAAACTCAGGTGTAGTACACCCGAGAGTAGTGGCTACTTTCCAGAACGCCATGGCACCAGCATCTTGAAAATAGGGGCAGCCTGGTGCACGTAGCTCCCGCTTTCGCAGGGTCCGGGGAAGGGTCCGACCACTTTGGGTCTTTTGTACGCAGTCTTTCCCTGCATTTCTGCAACAAGCTGTTTCCATGACTTGAACCCGTTACCTCATGGTCACAAGGCAACAGCTTTACCGCTGCGCCAAGGCTCCCCTTCCAGCATCTTGAAAATAGGTTACTCAAAAAATGGATAAATTATGTCATCACTGCGAGTTGCAAATGATTTCATGGGGAAGGCCTGGTACTGGTGTATGATTGACTATACTTTCTTCAAACCGAGAACAGAAAAATGAGGGTCTGTAGGTGGTGGTGGATTGCAAATGCTTAGATCTTTCATATTCATAGTATGTGAATAATACACTTGTGACAGGAAACTAATTTGGATTGGAATGTTTGTCAAATAAAAAAGCTTCTGCAGTAGCAAGACAACAAGATAAGTCCTTATTTATTTCTTACTCCTAGGGAAGTTAATCATCAAGCATTAAGACATATTAGCCCATGAATATATAAACTACTCCTTGACATTTTGGTGATGACTGGAAAAGGCATTGTGATGAGTTGAACATGAGAAGGGGTGATCAAACAGACCTGAGAAGAGGATGAGTCAACAGAAAGTCCAGTATTCTCGTTGCTGTGCATCTTCGGTGCCATGTCGGTTTGAAGAGACAGCTTGAGGATAGCTGGGAAATTTTACTTTTATAAGCAGAAATCATCTTTCTTAATAGGTTGAACTAATTAATTACCAAATCATGAAGCATTTGATAAATGTGAATAGACAGATGTGATAATTTGATCTTTCCAGAGATCTCTTGCTGGATTATTTTCATTTTATCTGGCCCAATCCAGGTGTTGCTGAACAGGACATGTTTTCCAGCATTAAAGAAGTTATTCAGATCATGTGGCAAGGCAAATCATCAGCATTGAAATACTTTCAGAACTAGATAGTACTCCCTCCGATCCAAAATAACTGTCGCAATTTTGAATTAGTTTTGAACTGGGGTTAGTTGAAAACTGTGACACTCTTTATGGATCGGAGGTAGTACTTGATAACATTCAACACTGTCACCTTAGATGTTAAGAAAGCTAGTGAGACCAAGAATACCTTGCCCAGTGCTAGCATCAGAAGCAACGGAAGACTCAGACTGGAAGTCACCGGCATGACGGAACTCGACAACTGCCTTGAAATTTTGCCACGGCTTCACCCATACCTTTGCCTTGTACATACTTTTCTTTCCAGAATCCACTACCTCCACCATCAGGTCGTGCAAGGTCCCAGCAACCACTTGCCTTTTTGCATTCACAACTCGTGTGAACTCCAATGCAGAACCCTACACAGCAAGATTAACATCAGAGGAAATCTAACATGTTTTCATGAAGACTGCACAACATTATCAGAGGAACTTAAGCATTACTCCCTCTCAGAGGGAGTATATATTTCTTATATTTCTTTACAGAGGGAGTGTATATCAGAGGAACTCGTGTGAACTAAGTGACTAAACGATCTTATATTTCTTTACAGAGGGAGTATATATTTTGACGAAGAACGCACCCTATCAGAGAATATAAGCAAACATTAAAAAAAATCCCATATAATGACAAAATCTGGAAATATTCAAGTTCCCATAGTACCGTGGGAGTATCTCATGATGATCCAAAAAACGTATCAGGGTGCAACTCAATCCATGATCAGTCATCAGATATATTCCTAAGCTAATAAAGTGCACGCGAAACTGCAATCATCGGAACATGAAAGACGCAGCGATGGATGCTAGCTGTTTAAAACGTATGCATAGTATAAAAAAAAAGTGGTTTCTAAAAGTTGCTTATGTTTCCACTGGAGTCTGAAGCCAACAAACTCTGCAATTTAGCAATCAGGTCTCAAAACATGCTGTTGGGCGCTTAAAACGCAGAATAAATAGTAGAATTGGTACATCCGCACACGTTTAAAGTCAACGAAATTCTGAAATCGACAAGTAGATCCCTAACTTGCATGCTATCTTGCATCATTATGTACCTGCACAGATCGGACCTACGCCAAGCCTTGCTTCTCCGACTCCTGGACCTAACTGTAACACGCCGTAGGGCGACACAGCTTACTCCGACGACGCGATTCACATCGACCGAATAATTCGTTCCCAAAAAAAAAAAACGCGGCGCACCTGCTTCCTGTTGTGCTCGGCGACGGCGAAGCGCGCGGCGTCCTCGGCCTCGGCCCGCTCGCGGACGGCGGCGAGCATGCCCCGCACGAGGCCGCTC